ATTAACTCCAGCTGGAATTATAATTTGGCCGGAATAAAATCACCTGCGGTAAGGATCACCTGCGGTGAGATTTAGCGAATAAAAATGATCGTCAGAGCTAATAATAAAAAAATACAAATCTGTCTATTAAAGAAAAAAGATCTTCTAATGAAAAAAAGAGGCAATAAAAAAATATGAATCTGTCTATTAAAGAAAAAAGATCTACTAATTTTAAAATTACAAGAGTTGGTAATATTTAATTAGAGAAATTTGGTATTAAACAAATACAAATCTGTCTAATAATATAAAAAGGAATTGCCATTTTAGGCAAATTCAGTAATTTTAAAATACAAGTGCTAGTATTATTTTAAATAGCAGGAGTTGGTATTAATAAAATACCAATCTGTCCACATCGGCGCGCCATATAAAACAATTTCTTTTTAAATTATTATTAAATACAGACAAATAAAAATTTTATATAATATTGATAACATTATTATTATAAAATAGGTACGTACGAACACCATTTTTTGGGTTTGTACTTCCGATATTTGTCGCACAAAATGGCTTTGGGAATTTTTTTTTTAAATCAGCTGATCAGCTGATCATGCAATGTACAAATACATAACAATAACTTATGCAACCAACGGAATTGCCGCTCCGACATTACATCATAATTTTTTTTTTTTTTTTAATAATAGCTCTCTCGAAATAAATCAATATTTTGACGTAACTTTTAATTTTAAAATCCCTTTCTCTCTTTCTCTCTTTTCGTTTGGAAATATGGCATGTTCAAAGTTATTCTCAGGAGATTTACCTGAGTTAACGAACGAAATTATTCAATGTTTTCATTATGATTATAAAACATTACATTCGTGTATATTGGTTAATAGATTATGGTGTCGTTTAGCAATTCCATTATTATGGGAAGATCCATTTTCAGTTAAACTTCCTAAAAATTATTACTTTATTGAAACTTATTTGCGAAATTTGAATGATGATGATAAAGCAAAATTAAATGAATATGTAATTCATAATGAATTATTTCCTTCAAACATACTATTTAATTATCCTAGATTCATTCAACGTTTAGATACATATAAAATTTGTTTCTCTATTGAAAAATGGGTTGCAACTGTCAGGATTTCAACAAGAAGAGGGCAACATTCCAATTATTCTATGCAAAATATAAATTTATCAGCTTCACAAACATCAAACTTCACAAAACTAATTTTTAGATCATTATTTCTAATATTCATTAAAAACGAAGTTAATTTGCATAGTTTTAAAATGTCAATGGCTACATTTAGTGATATTGAATATTATGATGAGATTATTGGATTAATCTTACAAAACCGTAATTTCATTTATAATATTAAAAATTTAACACTTGATCTTGATGATGCAAAATATAACACAATAAAATTTTTAGAATTTCTTTGTTCTAATTGCAATTCAATTACATCACTTAATTTTCTACTTCCTTCATTTCATGTTTATCCAATAATCGAAAAAAATTTTTCACAAATAATTAAATCTCAAGTAAATCTTAGAAAGATTTCATTTGGTTTTGGTGATGAATACTCCTTATACCATCCTTTATTATCATTAAATAATCCTTATTGTTCAATTACATTAAGTACAATTGTATTTTATTATATTGATTTTAAAAATATAGATGTTTTAAGTGAAGTATTTAATCATTCGAATGTTTTAGAATCAATTCATATTATTTATTGTTATTATTTAGATTCTAAATTTATTCGACAAATTAATAATATTACAAAACCATTTAAATTGAAAACTTTATTTTTGGATGAAATGAATGAATCATTAGAACCATTAATACAAAAGTCTGGCAATTATTTAGAAAACCTTGGAGTTGGTCACTATAAATCACAAAAGTTACTACAATTAATTATAAAGTATTGTAGTAAAATTAAATTTTTGGTTCCTACTTGGCCAGATAATCAGAGTATTTATTCAGTATTCAATTTAATTGAAAATATTAACCAAAATCTTAATTATCTTTTAATTGATGCCCTTGCTATTAGTTATAATGATAATTATCATTCTAGTTCAATTATATTACAAAATTTAGGACAAATTCTTCCTTTTAAATTAGAATATTTGAATTTACATCTTAGAATTAATACAAATGATTTAGAAATATTCTTAAAAAATTCTCAAAATGTTTTTGTTAAAAAATTGTTAATTAGAAATACAAAGAATGAAGAAAGTCAAGATATTTTCCCATATATAAAAGAATATATTATGAAAAAGAAACGAGTTAAATATTTGGCTATTACAGAAAATTATAGAGGAAAAAATGAATTCTTGATTTCTTTGAAAGATAAAGTAAAAGAATTTGAATTATATGATATTCAAGTTCTAAATTATGAAGATTTGATTATTAACATTTATGATCTTATACAAGAAATTTACTATTAACTTATATAGTATACAACTTGGATTATTTTATATTATTTGCAATAAATAAAGTTATATTATATATATATATATATTTTTCCTTTATTAATATTGAAAATATTACAAACGTAACCAATTCTAATGTCAGCGTAAGTAAATACATTGAGTCAATAAAGTATCTATTTAATACAAAATTTGAAACTATGCTATAGAAAACTAAATATATTGTACTACAGTCTATTATAGCTATTATAGCGCTATCGATACCTCTATTTACTACTCTTTCACCTTGAGCAATAGCCACCTTTTTCTTTACCTTTATCTGTAGATCCTATTGTCTTACCATTGATATATGTAATCCTTTCACTAAAAGCCTCGTTAAATTAATTAAATTCTTCAACCTGATCTTCCTTCTGAACCGTCGAACCTGTTAAACTATCTGGTGCGTCGCGGAATTGTTTGTCCTCCGAAAAGTTATTGTTATTCGTGTTAGACGTCAACGTAGTCTTATGAGTTCTCCGTTTTATAAAATTTCCGTCTGTCTATTAGATCGTCTTGTTTCTTCACTTGTAATCCTTTTCCTAAATCATCTTCCATAGTTGATGTATATGGTTTTCATCGTATCGTTTTTGCTATTAAAATAAATTAGAATATACTCAACTTTGTTAATTCTAATTATTTTTCCAAAGCAGTCGCCATATTTCTCGATGTTGTCTTTAATAATTGTACCACCGTTTCCTTCCACATCATTCGCTAGTTTCTTACACGCTTGCCAACTAAATTTTTCCTTTATTTCACGTGGCGTTAATCTTGAATCAAACATTCTGAAGTAATACACATGGTTACTATTTTAATACATATATAGTAATATATTAATTCCTCGTCTATATATATCTTCATAATATTTGGTAAAACAAAGTTCAGCTTTAACCGTTTTGTATTTGTAGCATCGTTTGAATTTTAATTGTTCCACGTATCAACATTTCTAAAACGTTATCTCACGTGACGTATCGGCAAAATTATCGTCCAGATATCAGGATTTTCTCCGATTGTTACGCCTTCTATGTGGAGATCATTCTTTCTTTGTTTTAGCCGAATTTGCCTTGCCATTTGTACATTTTAAACTCATGTCTTGATATTAAAGTTATTTTGAACTTATTGTACAAGTGAATATATTATTGAATTCGTAAAAGAATAGTGTAATTATTTAGTGATATTCTATAAATCAAAGAAGAATTATTAATTATTTTACGTACGAATCTCGGTTTTATTTTTGTTTTTATTTAATCCATGAATCTATTTTAAGTAAAGTATCTAAAGAAAAAACTGAAGTAGTTACTGGGTTAATAGTATACTTAAGTTTTTGTCGCCCTGTAAAAAAAGTCAATCAGTTTTTTATATTCCATTTTTTTTCCATAAAAGCCTCATTTCCGGAATTAATAACCTTAGATCACGGAATTTAACAAATTATTTACATTTCCTGTGAATGGATCCGTGAAAGGCTCACTTTTACGAAGTCGTGTAATTAACTCAAATGATCTTAAGAATTCTTATTAAAAAAAAATATATATATCTTAAATTCTTTTATTGATCGGTAGTCGAGTTTAAAACTTTTTTTTACATCGTATTGAGAAATAAATTATGAAATGAAAATCATTTTAATTATGGAATGTATTAAATTAGTCATTTATATTTAATAATATTTGTGTTTAGTTTAATAAATTTAAAAATTAGATTTATTTGTGAATTTTGAATGTTATACAGTCCCTGGCGAAAGTTATGGCGGTGAGAATACCACTTCTTAATTACTATCCCGATTAGATCACTACTTGTTATACCAAATTGAATAGTGGAATGATCATTTAAAAAGCAATAAAAAAAAGTAATTTCAAATATTTTTGTTACCCAAAATGGCATATTCATAATAATAATTTTGTACATCGAGATTTTCATAGTAGAAATATGTTATTTTCTAAATATTAGAAAGTTGGAGACTTAGGATTATCACAACCTGCAAATAATACATTATCAAATAATGAAATATATGGAGTGATACCTTATATTGCACCAGAAATATTTAAAGGTTCTGCATTTTCAAAAGAATCTGATGTATATAGTTTTGGTATGATTATGTGAGAAGTTACGACAGGTTGTAAACCTTTTGCTAATATTGAACACAACGTTGAACTTATTTATGAAATTATTGATGGAAAACGCCCTGAAATTACAAATGACACCCCTGAATGTTTTGCAAATTTAATGAAAAAATGTTGGGACTCTGACCCTTTAAAAAGACCAACTAGTTATGAAATAGAGCAATCTCTTAACAAAATGTATGGAGACGAAGTATTTAAACAAGCTGAAAAAAAGAGATTAGTATTAATACAATTAAAGCAACTTGGACCCGAATTTAGTGAAAAATCTCATCCAAAAGCAATTTATACAAGTAGAGCATTAAGTTCTTTGATTTCAAAAGCTTCGACTATAAATTCTTCTTCAATGATCTCATTTAATGTCAAACAAGGTATGTTATATTATTAAGTAATAATTAGCCATTAATGAAAAAACTTGAACCATTAGGTAGACGATAAGATATTAATAATTGAATTTACTTCTTTAAATTTATATTTAACTTAGATATCTTTTATTAATTCTTTTATTAATTTTTCAGAATATATTAAAAAAGAATATGAATTTGATATAAATAATATTCAAAGGTAATTAATTCTATATAAATTGCTAATAATATAAAATAAATAATACTAATTTCATACATTTTTTAGTTCATCCATACAAAATACAAATTCCGCTACTCAAAGCTTAACTGTATCCGTAAATTCTTCAAGAAAGCGTAATTCTGAAGAATTAAAGAATGAACCGAATGAAACTCAAAAAAATAGTAAGTAAACTCATTATTTACGCATGCAATATATAGTATCTATAGTTTTCACACCAACAGTTTTACAACATGTTTTTTTAATTAAAATAGGCAAATATACTAAAACTGATAATTCAGATGATGAATGTTGTTGAATATAATTGAGCCTAATAAATTGTATTAAAGAAATAAAAGAGAATATATTACTACCTTACTTTGCGCTCTGTAATTGTATTTACCTATAATTATAATTATTGTTATGTAACAAATAAGATATATTCATTTATAGACAATACAAGTTTAGTTGGACAATTCTGTTCATCCTAGTAATCATTTTGATATACCAAATTATTTTTAAGTATAAATATCAGATATAATTTAATAAAAACAAATACATTTATTAACAATATTAGATATACTAGGCGGAAACCGTTAAGAGTTCAAAACGAAATTGGTATGATTTTGTGTCACTACTGTTTCGTCATTTTTTCAAATTAGTTATTCTCATTATAGTACAACTCACTACAGATTTTACTGCTGTTTTGATCATTAATCTTATCAGACGTAGGAACTGTTTGGATTCACTACTAATTTTCGTGGACAAATTTTTGTTTTGTGGTTATGGATAATATAGAATTAAATATGGAGGTTAGGTTTGGAATGGATTTATTGTAATGTACTAATCAAAAATCTTAGATTAGTTTAGACTAGCAAAGTTTTAGTCATGTATTTAGTGTAGATACTTTATTGATAAGATGTTTTTTTACGTCGACTGATTTTTTTCATAATATTAATAAAGTTCATTATTAAAAAAAGAAAAAAAGACGTGACGTCATGACGATGTGACGATCAATTTTTATATAACTAAAAAAAATACAATGTGTAACCGTAACGTTTGACTATGTGTAACTTGAAATCCCATGCCATAGATCCATGTGCATTCCAATCAACTAATCCAATTTCAGCCTTTTTTTTTTTTTTTATTTTAATTTTTTTTTCCATTTTTTTTTTTCCAAATATTTTTGGTTTAAATTTTTTCATCCTTTAAAAAATTTGTTTTTTCTCATTATTTTCCCGTTTAGGTTTAATTTTTTTTCCCAAACTGAAACTTTTTTTTCACTCTTTTATTAATTAATTTAATTAATTGATAATAAGAAACGATTGGAAATTTATTTTGATAGAATGATTAAAGCGTATTAAAAGATGAATCTAGGATTTAGGGTTAAATAAGATTTTGGTTATTATGAGAACTTTTATTTGTTTATTTAGTTTCTATTTAAATTCAAAAAAAAGTTTTAATAGTCTCCTAATCCTAATTTCACCTGGACACTAACTCACGGATGATACAAAGGAATTGAATACTAGAATTCTCATCATATATTATTTGCTTATATATAAATCACATTTGAGTTTACTTATATCTAGTTAAAAAACACAATATAAATTTTCAGTATTAGATTTTTTGGTAGATAATATACTAACTATTTTTCAAATTTACATTTACAGATCAATTATACTAAAATAATTGTGATGATGCTGAGATTTAAGGATTTTTGAGTAACAGAATTTATAACACGTAAAAATAAAATCAAAAATTAAAATTAATTTTCTTTCTTTCTCTATGTAAAAAATAATTTATTACAATGACCAATTACTCAATCTTGGCTGGCTAGATCGGACTCCCTAAAAATAGTAAAAATAAGTTACTTCATTTATTATTTTTAGCATGTAATAAAATTAATATGTAGAAGCATGTGTAAAATAGCAAGTTAAAAAATTACGTAAGATAATATAAATTTTTTTGTAAAGATCTATGCGTGATGCTAACGAGAAAATCACAAATTTTTTTTGTTTGGTCAATGAAATCTTTTTTCTTCTCAATTAGTAAATTTATAAATAAAACAAGGACACTATTATTAAAAAAAATTTATAAATAATTGATGTAGTGATTCTTAAAGCACTTAATTTGGTATTACATAGATATAAAGTGAAATTAGATAATCTTCACGAGTAAATTAGTCAAATATGATTACCAAAAAATTGCGTAACTCTTCTCATGATATAAACACTCAGAAGAATATATAAATCATTTCTTATTTCCAGGTAAGAGTTTAACCAATTTTGGCCAAAGTTAATTTTTTCAACTAGAATTGAGTAGAAGTTTGTTAACTTAGCTAAATGTTTATCACTCGCCTCGTGAATAATGAGTAAATGGTTCCAACGTGAAATATCAAGAATTTATGTGCTAATTTACTTGATATTTATTAATTTATAAACAATTTCTATTTTTCCCACATATTAAAAAAAAAAGAAAATATTTATAAATTTCAGATTTAAAAAAAATTTTGTTTCGTAAATCCGGTAAAACTTGGCGTAAAAATTTCTACGACCGTTAGGATATATAGTATGTAGTATCGCTCTTAAACTTACTAATATGATTTAATATAATTTTTTCTTTTAATAGGGAATGACAGATTGTTTTTGGCCTACTTGCTATTTAAAGGTAATAATAATAGGTTAACATAAATTTGTTACGAAATAATGCAGTATGATAAATAATTAATCACCAAATCCTTTTTGTCATGTTAAGAAAAAAAATAAAATAAAACAAATCTTTAAATACGTTTTCGAAAATATACAGATATTGAAAGAGTTAAGTAATATTCCACGTGATAGCCAGACAAATAAACTTCTCTAAAATGTGTTATTTCTGTTTTTGGTTTTAACATGGTACAATGTTTCATTTATCAAACGTCATTGTTATCAGTTTAAATAACTCTAAAAGTCCTTTTAATTATTTGCTGGTAATGAAAGAGAATATGATGAATTGAATCGAATCTCACTTCAATTACTAAATTAAATAAAAGAAAAAATAATCAGAATATTGTAAGTTGTTAAAAATGCATTGATGAATAAATAAATTTTACCTACTAGTCTATTACATTATCATATTGATCACGTTTTTATTATCAGCCAATTTCACTTCAATAATGCGATTGTTCTTTGCTAATAATAACATCTATTATTTTATATTTTCGAAGTATTTTAGAAAATTTACAAAAAAACTTGTGAACCCTTAGGATATTCTTCAAGAATTTTATATAATTTGCAAAATGTTGAGTATAATTTTCTAATGACCTAAATTCTTAGGAAGTCCTAGTAAATGATTTTTTCCATTAAAAAGTGAATAAAAAATGATGTTTAAATAAGGATCATTTTATAGAGTCGCTCACCAAATAGATATAGTCATCAATAATGTCATCCAGATATACCTAAAAAATGGATAGTATACTCTTAAATATTTAGTGACTTTAGTCTCCAACTACAATAATTTTATTTTTCCTGCAATAAAAAATTATCAAGAGATGATCTCTGAATTTTTTTTTAGAAAGTTTTATTGAGTAGCGAAATTATTTAAAACATGGTTAACTTTTAATTTTTATAAGCTCATTATGTTACGAAAAAGGCAATAAATTTGCCTGAAAAATATGTTACTACATTATAATATCGAAATATTATGAAATAAAACTTTATAATCAAAATTGAATTTTTGATTTCGCCTTTTCATTCGAAACTTCAAATTTGGCTCATTAAACATCAATTTCCAAAAAAAAAAAAAAAAAAA